CGGGATCGAACATCAATTGCAACAATTCGATAAACGGCTCATTGGGATAGATGTATATGAATAATACCCCCCCCCCCCCCCCCCCCCCCCCCCCCCTAGAAACGTATAAGAGACTTTGGCCTCGTACGGCTCGAGAAAAAAATTCAATGAGTAGAAGTGAACTCTCTATATAAAATTAAAATATTAAATAGATTAATAAAAAAATAAACCAATTAGACAGTATTGAAACCCTAAATATTTTTTTTTCATAAAAAGCATTCTTAACATTCGTACTCTCATAACTCAAGTTAAATAACTCTCAAATATCTCAACAGAGAATCCTTAAGTATTCTTTCTATTTTTTATTGAGTAGTCTCTAACCCTTTTTTGTTTGTCTCATTTTTTAGAATAAATGTTTATTCTTCATTCTGATCTAGTTGTTCAAACAATTGAAACTGGATTTCCTTGTTTCAGGATTTTTTATCCTTACTTTGAATCTTTGGATTTAGACATGACTTCGGTGATCTTGAATCGTTTTATTAAAAAAGGGCAGCAACAAGCCCCTTATTTTGTTTATGATTTCTTTTATTTCTATCAAAGAATCATACAAACGCTTGATTCACGCATAATAGACTTTTGATTAAAATAATTTTGTGTAATTGATTCAATTATGGAATCATGAATAGTCATAGTTCAGTCAGTATATCGTAATCTATACTTTTTCTTTCTCTATGAATGGAATAGTGAATTTACGCGTAAAGGGTTCAGTCAGAATTAAAATAAATCCCATATTAGATTGTATATATATATATATATATATACAATAAAAATTGAATATAACTCCATATTTATATATATAAATATATATACCTTTTTTTATTAAAACTCTTATAATCCGCGGTTCTACCTTACTTAACTTACCTGCATCACAAAAAAAAAAAAAATAGATGCTTTTTGAATTCGGTTGAAATTATGAAAAATAAGTTGATTCTTCTTTTAATTTAAATTTTTTATTTTACAAATATTGGGTTTTTAAACAGAAAGAGAAAGATGGTGTACAAAGTCAATAGAAGATTGATTTCATAATGACTTTACTCTGGGACGGAGGGATTCGAACCTCCGAATAGCGGGACCAAAACCCATTGCCTTACCGCTTGGCTACGCCCCATTTCGATTTTTATTCAAGACTATTAAAAGAGTAATATTGCTACTGGTTGTTCGTCAATTCAATTTAAGACAAAATTAAATATAGATTACATTGGTGCTAGGGTTTTGACACGTCTAGATAGCAAATCAAACTGACTTTATTGATCATTACATAGAATTCAATTAAGATATTGTATGAAAATATTATTTCTTTAATTCTCATAAGAGAATAAAAGGATTTTTGATTGAGTAAATTCAAAAAAGTCTTTTTAGACTATCTTTATTTATTTTTTCTTTAAATAAAAAATAGATTAATAACTCAATCAAAATAAAATTATCCACAAGAACACCAATTTTTGTTATGCTTAATATATTTAATTTGATCTGTATTTTTTTTAATTCTACCCTTTTTCAAGCACTTTTTTAGTCGCCAAATTGCTAGAGGCCTATGCCTTTTTGAATCCAATCGTAGATGTTATGCCCATAATACCGCTTTTCTTTCTTCTCTTAGCCTTTGTTTGGCAAGCAGCTGTAAGTTTTCGATGAAATTCTTAATACTGTCTTAGAAAAATTCATGATTTTTATTCTTCCACCAATTCAAAAGATCAAAAAAATCTTGACGTAGGAACGAACTATCAATTCAAACATTTTTTTTTTTAAGAATCTAATTAGATTCGAGTTCACCAAAACAAATATCTAAATGTTGGTATGCAAATCTGTTTGAATATGAAAGACTCTACTATTATCTTATTACAAATGATTTGCTGAAACTTTTTTTTTTATTTTTCTAGAAAAAAATAAACCACTGGATTTATTGGTATCAAAATTAGCTATTTGGTATAAAAATAGAGAATCTATTCTCTTTTTTTTTTTGAAAAAAAAAAGTAAGATCTTGGAGATTGTGTAATGCTTACTCTCAAACTTTTTGTATACACTGTAGTTATATTCTTTATTTCTCTCTTCATATTTGGATTCCTATCTAATGATCCAGGACGTAATCCGGGACGTGAAGAATAAAAAAGAAAGGTTTTTTATTACTTTATTTAATTAGTGGAAATGATCAAATTTTATTAGGATTTTACATCATCAAAAGTAGAAAGGGAAAGAGAGAGATTCGAACCCTCGGTACGATTAACTTGTACAATGGATTAGCAATCCAACGCTTTAGTCTACTCAGCCATCTCTCCTAATCGAAAAGTGATACTTGATTAGGTTCCGTTAGACAAAAAAAGACTTAAAAAACCTTCTACACTTTATTCTTAATTCTTAAAAAGCTATCTTTTTTTGTTTTGTATAGATTATTCTGTATTATTATTATATATATATATATTTTCATTTTCTATATTTTATTATATATATATTATATATATAATTTTTTTTTATTATATAAATAATATATCATCTATTTATATATATAATTAATATATATATAGTAATATATATATAACTTTATATAAGTTTTTTATAGAACTTTCTCAATAATTTTATATTACATAAAAAATGTAGATAAAGATTAGATAAAGAAAAGGCTCGAACTCGAAAGAGAAATAAATAAAACCACAATAATAGAAATAGAAAATACTTTTTTGATTTTGTCTCGTCCAAACACAAGTAAAAGACCTTTTTTATTTTAATAGCCTGGCCTGGTAAGTCCCCAGCCGGGCCTTTTTTTGTTAAAGTAAAAAAAAAAAAAGAATCCGCTTTGACTAATTTTATTAAGTCTACGCTAGAATTTTAGAATTTTTTTCAGATTTTTTATTACACTCCCGATTACTTTGTTCGACAAAAGTTCAATTTATATGCAATAATTGCATTGTAGCGGGTATAGTTTAGTGGTAAAAGTGTGATTCGTTCCTTTAACCCCTTTAGTAGTTAAAGGGTCTCTTGGTTTGATTAATCTTTCGATAAAAAACTTTATTTCTTAAAAGAATTGAATCCTTTACCTTTCAATGAAAGATTCAAGGAAAATTATAGATTATCGTAATTTATATCCAAAGACTCCAATCAATTGTAAATTTGGATTATGAAATTCCAAAACATAATTTTTGAATTGTATGACTATTTACAATTCAATAAGTATAACAAGAGGATCCATGGATAAAGCTAGAAAAGTCTCTTTCTAATCGTAACTAAATCTTCAGTTCTATTTATTGCTTGGTATAGAAAAAATTGAAGCAAAATAGCTATTAAACGAGAACTTTGGTTTACTAAAGACATCGACATATTATATTGTTTTAGCTCGGTGGAAACAAAATACTTTTCCAAAGGATTCCGTTAAATAGAAATAAAGAACGAAGTAACTAGAAAGATTGTTCGAATTCTCCTTTTCTATCTTCTAGAAGGATCATCTAGAAAGCAAAAATTTCTGTGAAAGCATCCAGACGGAAAAAAAAGCTAACATAGATGTTATGGGTCGAATTTTGATTTCGTTCCCGTCTTGTTTTATTTGGGAATTTCTCCATCCATCATAAAGGAGCCGAATGAAACCAAAGTTTCATGTTCGGTTTTGAATTAGAGATGTTAAAAATATAAAAATGATCCATCGGCGTCGACTAAAACCCTTAGCCTTCCAAGCTAACGATGCGGGTTCGATTCCCGCTATCCGCTCTAAATTATAAATTTCCCCTTTTAATATAGAAAATTTTCTCTATTATAATTATCTAATAGCAATTGCGTATTGAATTCATTTCAATACACAATTGCTATTAGATTTTGCACATTTTTTTTTAACAATTGTAAAGTTAAAAAAAGCGAAAAGTGTCCATTGTCTAATGAATAGGACATAGGTCTTCTAAACTTTTGGTATAGGTTCAAATCCTATTGGACGCAATATCAATATAGATATATCTATATTGATATTTATATATTATTTTAATTTCTATATATTATCATTTCTATATATTATATAGAATATTATTTCTATATATTATCATTTCTATATATTATATAGAATATTATTTCTATATATTATAATTTCTATATATTATATAGAATACTATATAGAATATATTTCTTTATATTTATAAAAAAGATAAGAAAGAAATAGAATAAGAAATTCTTAATGCTTTAAGATTTAATATTAAACAGATATTAGTTATATACTTCTTTATATTATATATATACTTAACTTAATATACTTATATTTTTCTATTTATAGAATTTCTTAAAAATTGAATTAAAGAATAAAATTGACTTAAAGAATAAAAAATAAGAAAAGAATCAAAACTAAGAATGATCCATTTTTTTTTATATACTTTCTCCTGAAGTATAAAAAGTTCTAGTTGCTCTTGAATACCTTCTTTCAAAAAGCTTTCCGCTTCAGCGGTTAATGCCTTGGTAGAGGATATTATTTCTTGAAACTGCGGTTTATTCGTTTTTAAATAAGTGCGTAACTGAACGAGAAATTTTCTTACTTGTCCAATTTCTAATCCATCCAGATAACCATTTGTTCCGGTATAAATAGTCATTACCTGTTTTTCGACTGTGAGAGGGGCTGATTGGGATTGTTTCAGTAACTCACGCAATCGTTGACCTCGTGCCAATTGATTCTGAGTAGCTTTATCGAGATCAGAAGAAAATTGGGCAAAGGCTTCTAATTCAGCGAATTGAGCTAATTCCAATTTTAAATTTCCAGCTACCTGTTTCATAGCTTTAATTTGAGCGGCGGATCCTACTCTCGAGACAGAAAATCCCTACATTAATAGCAGGTCTGATTCCAGCATTAAAAAGATCGGCGGATAAGAATATTTGTCCATCTGTAATAGAAATTACATTAGTAGGAATATAAGCTGAAACATCTCCTGACTGGGTCTCGACGATTGGTAAGGCAGTCATACTTCCTTCACCTAATTGAGAGCTTAATTTAGTGGCTCTTTCTAAAAGACGTGAATGTAAATAAAAAACATCTCCCAGATAAGCTTCACGACCCGGCGGTCTTCGTAATAGAAGAGACATTTGTCGAAAGCTTGTGCTTGTTTGGAAAGATCATCATAAATGATTAAAATGTGTTGTTCACGGTACATAAAATATTCAGTCAAGGCTGCTCCTGTATAAGGAGCGAGATATTGTAACGTAGCTGGGGAATCAGCGGCTTCAGCTACCACAATAGTGTATTCCATTGCCCCTCGTTCCTGTAAACTAGTCAGTACCTGAGCCACGGAAGAAGCTTTTTGACCAATAGCCACATAAACACATATTACATTTTAACCTTGTTGATTGAAAATTGTATCTGTGGCTACTGCTGTTTTACCAGTCTGTCTGTCACCAATAATTAATTCTCGCTGTCCGCGTCCTATAGGGATCATGGAATCAATAGCAATAAGTCCTGTTTGAAGAGGCTCATATACAGAACGTCTCGAAATAATACCTGGGGCAGGAGACTCAATTAACCGAGATTCAGAAGCTGAAATCTTACCTCGACCATCAATAGGGTTAGCCAAGGCGTTTATAACATGCCCCAAATAAGCCTCACTCACCGGTATCTGAGCAATTTTTCCCGTAGCTTTGACTGAACTTCCTTCTTGGATCATCAAACCGTCACCCATTAATACAACACCAACATTATTTGATTCTAAATTAAGGGCAATACCTAGAGTACCCTCTTCAAATTCTACTAATTCACCTGCCATTACTTCATCAAGACCATAAATACGAGCGATGCCATCGCCCACTTGAAGTACGGTACCGGTATTTACAATCGTTACTTCTCTATTATATTGCTCAATACGTTCACGGATAATATTACTAATTTCGTCGGCTCTAATGGTTACCATGAGTATTGTCCTAATTCTTTTTTGGAAGAAAAAAAAAATAATGCCTATCATAATCGTAAGGAAAGGACTAATCCGTTATTTCTTTCATCGTACCAAACATACCAATATTTGCATTAATAGTACGTAAATATAACTCATTACTCAAACAACTATTTAGGGTTCCTATAGCTCCTTGTAAAGCTTGTTGGAAAACCCGTTCGCGGACTTGATTAATTGTTCTTTGTTGCTCAAAAAGAATGGTTTCGTTTTTGTAATTTTCTAATTGTTTCAAAGTCCTATAAGTTGAATTAATCAAATTTAATTTTTCTCGTTCGATTTCAGAGTATCCATTCGCGCGAAACTGATCCGCCTCCGTTTCTTCTTTACGCAAGCGAGCTCGGGCGTTTTCTAATTGTTGAATAGCTCCTTCACGTAGTTCTTCTGAATTTCTAATAGTACTTAATATTCTCTGCTTTCGGTTATCTAATAAATCATTTAATGAAAGTAGATTATCTTTCCATTCAGTAAAAAAAAGTTCTATGATCCCTTCCCGAACCAAACATGAATCTTTCGATTCATTTGGCTCTCATGCTCACTTATCCCAATCATTTATCAATTATTTATGAGACTTTCATTCCCATATTTTTCATGTAATGAGCCTATCCTCTCCCGATTTTTTTGTATTCAATTCATATTTAATATATATATTTCTATCGAAAAAGATCACCAATCCAAGACAAAAATATTCAGAGGATTCTTTTGACCAATAAAAAATCAATAATTGTCAGCAAAGTTGTTTATTTTTTTTTTGAAATCCAAAGAATTCTTATTACTTTATACGTAGGTTATCAATTCTGCATTATACAAAAAGACTCAAAAAATTTTATCGACATGAGTGTTTTATATCGAAAAAAGTATAACTATTCTTTTTGAAAATCTTATTCATTTTTTAATTAGACTCCATATAGTAGAAAGAGTACCATGTTGCATCTGAACTTCAAACGGTTTAGCTTTAACCATGTTAATTAATGGTCCCAAATTTTTGGTTGGTAGAGAATCAAAGTAAAGTAGACTTACCAAATAATAAGGAAATGTTATGTTTCTAAAATATGATTTTTTTATTTAATTTTTTATTCAGAAGTAATTCGAGGGATTAGGCACTCTTTCCTAGTTATAGTATTGATAGTCACTTTTTAAGCGATAGTAATAATTCCAATGAAAATTACATTTATAATTTCATTTGTAGTGAAAGTGGAAAGATTCGTCAAAGCAAAAATTACAAGATAAGAACTAATAGGAATCGTAATAATTTAATTAGTTATAAGGATTTCGATATAACTAAAAACTACAATCAATTGTGGATTCAATGCGACAATTGTTATGGATTAATGTATAAGAAAGTCGAAATGAATGTTTGTGAAGAATGTGGACATTATTTGAAAATGACTAGTTCAGAGAGAATTGAGCTTTCGATTGATCCAGGTATTTGGAATCCTATGGATGAAGACATGGTTTCTGCAGATCCCATTAAATTTCATTCGAAGGAGGAACCTTATAAAAAGCGTATTGACTCTGCTCAAAAAAAGACAGGGTTGACTGACGCTGTTCAAACAGGTACAGGTCAACTAAACGGTATTCCGGTAGCCCTTGGGGTTATGGATTTTCAGTTTATGGGGGGTAGTATGGGATCCGTAGTAGGCGAAAAAAAAATAACTCGTTTGATCGAGTATGCTACCAATCAATGTTTACCTCTTATTTTAGTGTGTTCTTCGGGAGGAGCACGAATGCAAGAAGGAAGTTTAAGTTTGATGCAAATGGCTAAAATTTCTTCGGTTTTATGTGATTATCAATCAAGTAAAAAGTTATTCTATATATCAATTCTTACATCTCCTACTACCGGTGGGGTGACAGCTAGTTTTGGTATGTTGGGGGATATCATTATTGCCGAACCCTATGCCTATATTGCATTTGCGGGTAAAAGAGTAATTGAACAAACATTGAAAAAAGCCGTGCCTGAAGGTTCACAAGCGGCTGAATCTTTATTACGTAAGGGCTTATTGGATGCAATTGTACCACGTAATCCTTTAAAAGGTGTTGTGAGTGAGTTATTTCAGCTCCATGCTTTTTTTCCTTTGAACAAAAATGAAATCAAATAGAACAGTTAGTTTATCAGAATTAAACGAAACCCCTGAAAAATTTATTTTTCTTTCGAATCTTTTTTTTTTTATCGATATTCTTGTTTACTACTCAGTAAACCTCTATCAACAAGATAAAAAGTGAATCTTTGGGAAGTTAAAATTAGACTAGACAAATAAAACAAAGTTTATTTTCCTCTCTTGCTTGCATATGTATAGATAATTCAAATAGAGATATATACAGATCTATGTATGGAAGTGTACTCTGAGTCTATTTCTGCATTCTTTATAGATTCAAAGCAATGACTAAGTATTGAATCAAAAGAAATAGATAAAATGGATTCATAGGCTCAGTACATTCTAGTCGAATTATAATATAAACTCACGCTCAATAAAAATATTAGATCTAATAGAATCAACAAATGCGGTAGGTTCATTAACAATTCACAGATTAAAAATGGCAAAAAAGAAAGCATTCATTCCTTTTTTTTATTTTACATCTATAGTCTTTTTGCCCTGGTTGATCTCTCTCTGCTGTAATAAAAGTTTGAAAGCTGGGATTACTAATTGGTGGAATAGTAGACAATGCGAAATTTTTTTGAATGATATTCAAGAAAAAAGTGTTCTAGAAAAATTCATACAATTAGAAGAACTATTCCAGCTGGATGAAATGATAAAGGAATACCCAGAAACCGATTTACAACAATTTCGTCTAGGAATACACAAAGAAACGATCCAATTCATCAAGATACACAACGAGTATCGTATCCATACAATCTTGCACTTCTCGACAAATCTAATATCTTTCGTTATTCTAAGTGGTTATTCCTTTTGGGGTAAGGAAAAGCTTTTTATTCTGAATTCTTGGGTTCAAGAATTCCTATATAATTTAAGTAATACAATTAAAGCTTTTTTGATTCTTTTATTAACTGATTTATGTATCGGATTCCATTCGCCTCACGGTTGGGAACTAATGATTGGTTATATTTACAAAGATTTTGGGTTTGCTCATTATGAGCAAATTTTATCTGGTCTAGTTTCTACCTTTCCAGTCATTCTTGATACAATTTTTAAATATTGGATCTTTCGTTATTTAAATCGTGTATCTCCGTCACTTGTAGTGATTTATCATGCAATAAATGACTAAAAAATGATTCACTGATCCAATTTTAATATTTCTTACCTTATACATCATAACCAAATCAAAGTCGTATTTACTTTACTCTTTTTACCCACGTGGGGATTCCTTGTATATTTAAAAAAAAAAAAATTATTTTTTCAGTAAATGTAAATAGCAGAATTGTGGCTAGGGAAGTATATTATTGACCTACCTAACTTTATTGTAGAAATTTTCGTGATAAATGATTGGACCATGCAAACTAGAAATACTTTTTCTTGGATAAGGGAAGAGATTACTCGCTCCATATCTGTCTCACTCATGATATATATAATAACTAGGGCATTCATTTCAAGTGCATATCCGATTTTTGCCCAGCAGAATTATGAAAATCCACGCGAGGCAACCGGGCGTATTGTATGTGCCAATTGCCATTTAGCTAGTAAGCCTGTAGATATTGAGGTTCCACAAGCGGTACTTCCCGATACTGTATTTGAAGCAGTTGTTAAAATTCCTTATGATATGTAACTAAAACAAGTTCTAGCTAATGGTAAAAAGGGAGCTTTGAATGTGGGAGCTGTTCTTATTTTACCCGAGGGGTTTGAATTAGCCCCCCCCCCCCCCCCCCCCCCCCCCCCTGATCGTATTTCACCCGAGATGAAAGAAAAGATAGGAAATCTGTCTTTTCAGAATTATCGCCCCAGTAAAAAAAATATTCTTGTGATAGGTCCTGTTCGTGGTCAAAAATATAGTGAAATAACCTTTCCTATTCTTGCCCCAGACCCTGCTACTAATAAAGATGTTCACTTCTTAAAATATCCTATATACGTAGGTGGAAACAGGGGAAGAGGTCAGATTTATCCTGATGGTAG